TAATTATTTTGATGTTTTATACAAGAAATCTCAAGAAAAGGGGTTGAGATTTTCATTGAATTCTATATCAATGAAGTAATCTACTGTTATGAACTCATTTTACTGCTTATAAGCCTCATTGGATAGGTCTTAATGGGTTAAGAGGTCAAATTAACCCTAAAAAGACAAAGCTGTGATTTCAGGATTTTACCCTAATCTGTCCATATCTTTGGGAGATGATATCTCGATCATACGAAAACCTTTTTAGTCGAAACCAAAAGCCAGAGTTTCGTTTTTGAGTCCTATACATTTCATTAGTTTTGACCAAAGGCCAGAAATGCCCGTAACTAGCGTGAAATTGACTATTTACCCAGACTGGTCCGTAATGAATTGTTTTGGGAGGCAGTATTGTAAAAATCGTCAAAAATTGTAGAAAAATTGTATAGTAGTGTGTGAATACTACTTTTAAAGCTAATGACCTGTACCTAATTTATGTAAAACAGTTTTGAAAAATAATATGTTTAAGGGGGTAAAACATGTCCCAAACAAGACTATAATTTCTATGTATAAACCTGAAAAAAGAAAAAGAAAATAACACTAAAGCCATTATACTTTTGAGATATCAAAGTACCATAACTTAACTCTTTTTGGTCATTATTAGGAATTTGAAGGTTAACCTGGTGTGAAGGGGTGTTTATATTATTTGAAGGGTGTTTGACTAGTAGAGGTGAGCTCCTTACTTCATAACCTTATAGTATTATATGCCTACTGTTAGGTCGGGTGAGACTATGAACTATATGGTTGACAGTTAAACTAATACTTGTTTCATTAGTTATGTTTGATGTACTTATTTGTTATGTGGAATGTGATGGGTTTTATACAAACAATCCTAAGTGTGCATGCAACCCTAGTTTGGATCTATGTTTTCACTATTAGATACACAACATTATGAACACAAGAATAAAACCCTAATGTGCATTGCTATTTTCGAAATTAACATACAAAGGTTGGTTTACATACCTCTTGTTGTTATATTGCAATAACAACTTAAATATTCAAATCCTAAGTCTTGAAAGCAAGCACCACAAGTGTAGTGCCTCTAATGGCTCACAAACACCACAAGCAATTGGAGAGGCTTAAGATAGAGGAGGGAGGAGTTGGAATTCGTCCTTGGGACCTCTTAGGAGCATGTACACGAATTCACAAGGCCTAGGGGTCTTTATATAGGGTTTAGATTAGGGTTTAAGTCCTTATCCTTATCCAGTTACCTGCCCACCAAGCAACCACAAGATAAGCCTTGAAAAACCCTTATCCTCTTATCCTTGGACGATTTTAAGGATATCCTTATCCTTAAATTCGTTCATCCTTTAACAAGGATAAATATTGCCCTATCTTGCAACTATCTTATAATTACAATTCAGCCCCTCTAGTTTAATTAATTACACTTGATCACAAAATTAATTCCTAATTAATTATTGACCAATATTAATTAAACAAATATGATTTTCCTTTAATATATTATTCTTATAACATATTAATAAATTACAATAACCTCTCTCTCTCTCTATTTAATTTCTCCAGTCAAGTTGCTTTGGTGAAGGCAACCCAAAAGGACCATGCACAACCGGGTCAAGTACTTACCAAATATGGTTACGGGCTTAGACACTAATCCAACAGAATGTATATGCATGATATGTTTGGGCTCGATGGCTGAATACCAAGTTGATATTTTGGATCTTGACGGCTGAATACCGAGCCGACAAACCGAAGGCCATTGTGCCAAGTCAGGAGGGCCGAAGGCGGAAACACCAAGTCCGTGGACTCGACGGCTGAATACCGAGTCTTTATTTGGGTGTTTTTTGGTATTTGTTCCCAAATAGACACGGGATATATGATATTAATGTTTATATGTTATATGGATGTTTGCATATTTTGTTGGTGGCATGATAAGTAGGAGTAGGGTGTAATATTTCTAATGTTATGTTGTGTTGGAAGTCACTAAGCTTTGTACTTACCATTTTATTCTATAAATGATTATTACAGGTACATCGGGTACCAACAAGGGTAAGGATTCGACTTAACTGTACACTGACGAGGTTGAAGATTGGGTCCTTGTCATAAATTTTATTACAAATTTTAAGGCTTTTATTATTCTATTATAACTACGTTATAACAAATGGTTTATCTACAGTATGTTTGGAATTACTAAATTGGGGATATGAATTTTATAGATTGCTTAAGTTATATTATGGATGGATGTTTTTTTTTTACAAAATAAATGTTTCGAAAAGTTTAAATTTATTAGAAAATTTTGGGATATTATAATTGGTGTTTTGGACAAAGTGAAATTTTATTTGATGATAAACTATGTTTTTATTAAGAGTTAATGTAATTTCTTTTACTGTTTAATGCAATTTTATAATGTTGATTTTGTTATAATTTTTTTTTTTAGAAAAAGTCGACTTATTTTTGTATTTATTTTAATTAATTCTATCACATTTTTGTAGTTGAATTGTTATGGATGTTGCTATGAAACATATTCTGTTAAACTTTTTCTGCAACATAACTAGGTTGTGGTAAATTTACTACACCATATTTGATACATCATAGTAAATTCACTATGGAATGTTTGCTACAATATTACCCATAGTTGATTTGCTACGAAAATTAGCTACGGGACTAGTTTGTAGTTAATTTGTAACAAAATCAGGTCATAGTAAATTTACTACGGAGTACTAGCTACGCCATTACCCATAGCGGATTTGCTAGAGAAACTAGCTACGGATTTAGTTTGTAGTTAATTTGCGACAGATTTACTACGGATCGGGGCGTAGTTAATTCACTACGGACATGCTACGGAAATAAATTGTAGTTAATTTGCTACAATGTTTCTACGGATGTAGTCCATAGCAAGTTTTCTACGAAATAAGTCTCTTGTAAATTCCGTTGTGAAGGTGCTATGGATTCCGTAACGAACCTTTACTAACGAAGACTTTGCCTACATAATGGATCCGTAGCAAATTCCGTTGCTAATCGATTTTAACTACGGAATATCATGTTTTAGCTATGCAATTTTTCCGTCGTTATTTCGACTTTTTCTTGTAGTAGTAGGCGGAATCTAGACCGATCGTTGAGTACAAGACCTATTTGCTTACTTACGAGGTGAGTCTTGTCACTATATTTACCTGAGTGGTAATATTGTGTGGTCGGATGGTCTTATCCGAGTTACTGACCGAAGGGTCTTATGTGCTTATCCGAGTTATGTGATATTATGCATTTTGTCTTTGTGATTTATGTTGTATATATGTGCCTTATTGAGTTAGGACCGGAGGGTCCAAACCGAGTTGTGAGACCAAAGGGTCTTCACTGAGATACCAGACTGGAGGGTCCAACCCGAGCTATGAGACCGGAGGGTTTTCACTGAGACATATGAACAGAGGGTCCTTATCGAGTATAGCCATGAGAGGCTAATTATTTGTGCATGGTATTTTAGGCAACTCACTAAGCTTCGTGCTTACAGTGTTGTGTGAAACGTATTTCAGATACCTCTCAGGATCACGGGAAGGCGTCAGCATGATTCTACACACCAGCTAGATATTATGTTATGAGGATTATGGGATATTTTCAAACATTTTATTGTCTTGTATTTTGAACAACTTATAAACTTGGGTTTGAGAAATATGAAACTGTGCTTTGTGTGGTTTTAAAAATGAAAATTTTTATTTGAAAATTTTAGAGTGTTTCGTATGTATTTTAACATTTAAATATACATAAATAGTAATAGCTTGAATCCTTAAAATACTACGAAGTTTTATAACATGATTGTTATAATATACGACTACTTGTAAGACCTATGTATTACATGTGTTAATTTTGAAAAAATAAATATAGAGGTCTAAATATTCGAGAACTTTGAATTTATAAGAAAAGAAAAAAAAATTATTATAATAGAATTGTTTTTCATCTTGAAAATTTAAACATATAATTTAAATAAATAAACAAAAGACACTAATTAATTTTAATTTTGAGAATTTTAAAATTAAAAGGTAAGTTCATTAATGAAATTAATATCCATTTATAATTATATTTATGGCAATTATTATATTAAAATATTAAGTGAAGTTTAAAAAATAGAAAAAAACTTATAAAATAACATCTAAAAATTAATTTAAAATAACCATAAAGTGATATTTAACAAATTGAATGATAATATGATAAGTTGCAAAAAAAAAAAAAAAAAAAAAAAAAAAAAAAAAAAAAAACATTTATTTATTAGAGTAGCTGTCAAATAAATAAAATCATTTTTTTTGTGTCATGTAGCATTTATTATGTGAATCAATTATTTCATGATAAAATATCCTTAGTACGTATACGAAAAGTTTGTACTAGTTTATTTGTAGCAACATGTTAAATTTTTAAATAACATTTTTATAAACAAAATTTATTGTACTTTCGCATAAAGGATAATATTTTAAAAAAAAAAACAAAATATATAAACACATGTATTCCCCCGAGAATAATTAAAATATTAAAAGAGGGAGTAAGCACTCATCCTAGCAACGTGAGTTCCATTTGTTCAGATTTGATTTTTTTTTTTTTTTTTGAGAAAATTGTCGTGTGAAACCGCAACTCTACAATTCTTGAACTTTGAAATACTTTTGAGTCCGTTTCTAATGAATTTATACCGGTAGGGGCTGTTGGGTAATTTAATTTAATAAATATGATTATTTTGGTAAAAAAAAATACAAAATGAGGCGTCTTTTTAAATAAATGTGGTCAAGGTTTGGGGTTGGGACTTATTTTGAATGAATGGTTTAATTGTGGGGGTAGTTTGGTCATTTCATAATTAAAATAACTTAGGGGTTTTTTTGTACAAAGGAATTTCATGAGGGGTTGTTTGTGTTTAAGGGTTCCAACTTTATGAAGTTAGGGCTCATAAGTCCCCGTGTACCTTTTGTTGATCGGGTAATTAGAGAGGCGGATACGAGGTTAAGATTTAAGAATGAAGCAGACGAGCTCCGATGACGAGAAAGAAGCACGAAGCAGCTAGAGGTCCGGCGACTTCGGATCAATTGCAGGCAAAGGAAGGGAGTTCTGGTGGTCGACGAGGCCGAAGGAATGAAGGTGGGTGAAGCAGCGAGGCTTCCCTCTTCTCGTCCGGTTGCGGAGAGCGAGTTCCAGGCGTCGCAAGCAGCGATAACTTCAGAGCAGGTGAGGTTTCCAGAGGTTTTGCTCGACCGGAGAAGGGGAGATGTGCGAGTGGTTCCGATGGGGCCGATGAGAAGGAAAAAGTGGAAAAGGCTTCGGTCTCGGTGGTGATCGATGAGCAAGATGGAGAGGGACGGCCTCCCTCCGATGATTGCAGGTAAATGGACGGGGGGTCTGCTCCGACAGCCTCCCCTATTATTTTTTATTTTTATTTTTATTATTTTGTTTAGGAAGCAATAGAGGATAAAAGATAGACGTTTGGGGTTGTTAAGACAGGAATCGATTGGAGTGTTTGGGTTTGATGATTCACAAGAAATGAATAAGGAAGAAATCAATGTTTTGTTGTTTCATTTGATAGGGGTTTTTCAATTTTAGAAATGGAAATTGATGATCTTCCATTTTGCTGGAAAACACAACTACCAGGGGTTTCAATGAAGATTTATAACACGTTTTCTTTAGAGTGTAGTTTTGCATTAGCCTTGTGTGTAGTTTTTGTATAAAATGACTTTCTACAAGTATCTTGATTTTAAATCAAGATACGGGACGTATAGCCGTATAGGTATGATTTTAGGAAGATTTTGGAATTGTATAAGATATGTACTTCAATATTTTAGCTGATAAAATAAATATTTTTTTTTGGTTTTTCACTTTAAGATGTTTTATGTACAAATAAAATGAAGTGTTATGTATATGTATTTGTTTGATTTGATATGTATTATTGGTTGTTCTCCTCTTGTATATACATGTATATTTAAAACTTTCACAACCATTGTCATAATAAATGTAATCTATTTCTCTTGTATATACATGTATATTTAAAACTTTCACAACCATTGTCATAATAAATGTAATCTATTTCTCTTGTATATACATGTATATTTAAAACTTTCACAACCATTGTCATAATAAATGTAATCTATTTTCATTTGTTATGAGTTTGTTATATAAAATTTTGTAATATATATAAATTTAAACTCATATGTTAGAAATTTTAAAACTGTTAACTTGTTAACATTGGTCTCTTAACTTCAAAATTAACACATATTTAATGTATATTTGGAAATATATATATATATATATATATATATATATATATATATATATATATATATATATATATACTAGGTTAAAATATGTGGAATCTACGGATGTTAATTTTAAATATAATTAAAAACTAATTAAGTATAAAATAATATATCATTAATTTAGAAAACTTATTAATTGTAATAGTATATTATTTTAATAACATTGTTATTTGTAATTATTTAATTACATAGTAATTTGATGAGATTAATAGAAATTGTTGTTGTCTTTTGTAGATTTTTTCAACCAAATTTTTGCAAAAAGTAAATCAATCAACCAAACTTGTGCAAAAAAACAACATTATTGATTATTTCAAATTGCAATACTAATCAAAGATTTGCAAAAATATATTGATTTATAAAGATTTTTATCTATAAATTTAGAAATGATTAGTTAAAATTAAGATATAAATTGTATAATAATATAGAAACTATAAAAATCGTAATTATTAACAATAAATTTGTAAAAAGTTATTTTTATACAACATTATATTTTGTTTGTAAGAAAAATTATTGTTATTTTAATTAATATAAGAAATTGTTTATGTATCATAATATATTTGAAACAACTTATATAGTAGATGAACTCATGACATATCTTTTGACAATTTTTTGGAATTTCTATTATGAAAATATATTTTTATCAATTTTTTGTTATCTAACACCAATATAATCCATGTTTTATACGAATCAGTAAACCAATATAATTATCTTAATAAATATAATAATGATATATTTTTAAATATATATCGTAACTCTAACTTAACGGTTATTTAATAATTCTTATATAATTATTTGTTGAGATATATGTATAAATGTCAATTGCAAAGTCCGTTTAATTGTGATGGAAAATTACTTAAATTATTTATTATTTTGAATTAGTTAAAACATTTAAAAAAATATAAATTAGTATTAGTATTAGATTAAAAAAAGAACATTATATAATATATTGTTTAATGATTAAATTACTTCTCTTTTCCGTTTATACCCCCCACAACCATCTACATTTTTTAAATCATCAATCTTCTCCTTAACATGATCAGATCCATCAACCAAATGTGAATTCATAAACACCCACTCATAACTCCCTCCATGTGTATCTGAATTCCTTCTCCCTTGGAATCTTTTTCCATGACTCATTTCATACTTAACATTTGAAGCTCTTTTAAACTTGTACTTATGCCTTTTTATATATGCATCATCAAATGGTATCATAATGTCATCATCTTTCCATCGCATTACATGTTGCCAATGGTGATCCCTACTTTTTACCACATCCGCACGATCATCATAATCAACTGTGTAATCCTCTATATCAAAAGGTTCAGAATCATCATATCTAAATCCTTTAGTCAATTTCCCTTCATATCTCCTTTGTCTTCCATATAAACTACTTCTAGGCGTCATGTCACCATGGCATCTTCCATTATTGATATGGGATTCTTCCCTATTTGGCAAAGGGCCTCTAAATTCCCATGTGGTACATGATTCATGATTTATATGTTCATATTCATCTTTTTCCATGTCATTATAAGCAAAAGATTTAAAATTTTCACCTTTTATATCTTTGGAATATTCCTGTTCAAGAAAAAATTCATCATGTATTCCTTTATGTCCAAAATGCACATTATTTCCTTTCCTTTTATCATGCCATCCAAATTTATCGATATATCTTCGTTGTTCATCGTAATATTCATCCTCTTCTAAACTTCTTAAAAAGGGGGATCGACCCATTTTGGGTCCAAATCGTTCATAATCAGAAAACCTTTCACCATGGTAATAATCAAGAGGAGATTCTGATTCTTTTGAATATAACATGCCTTCCTCATTATAAGGATCAAAAGGATGCAGTCTCTCATAGTCATAGGTCATATTATTATATACAGGAGTATTGTATCTTCCATGATATCTATGCTCCCCGTGTTTTCTTTCTTCATGTCATCTTATTGAGAAGATGATGTCAACATTTTCATGGTGATATTTGGGTATAGAATCTTTACGGGTCCTATTGTTATATATAGGACTATGGTATCTTGAATGATATATATGATACTTATCTATTATTTTCAAGCCCTCTGAATGATGATAACCAGGCTTTCGTGACTGAATCAACTCAGTAGATGAACACCTCTCATGACAATAAGATTTTCACCTATCTTCAAATGATTTGCAATGGTTTTTAGGGCTCTTTTCAACCTCGGATGATTCAGCAGGCATTATGGATAGATCTGTGGTGCATGTATCCTCACCGGTTCTTTCCTTTGTGTTGTCTAAAGTCTTGATTGCTTCATCAGTTCCTCCTGAACATGGGTTAATATTATAAAAGCCCTAAATTTTTAACGCGTAATTGGAAAAAGCCCTGATTTTTTTTATTGTTGTGGCCACAACTTTCTCGTAGAATTATCACTCTAGCCCACTTAACGAGTTTCATGGTTAAGTTGGTTAACTTTTTTGCAAAAATCAGTCCTAAAATTTTCAAATTTAGTCCCTAAGGTTTGAAAAAAATTACACCACATGGTTTTTTAACTTTTTTTTGTATACTTTACTTATTTTCGGTTATTTTATAAATATATGTACATTTTTTATTTTCTTTTTTTATATATATATTTTACTTATTTTCATTTTTTAACTATATTTTTCAACAATTTTTTTAAACATGTTTAAATTTGTTTTCTATTTTTTAGTGTATATATAGAGTATATTGGAGTTTTTTTAGGTTTTTTCATATTTCTTTTCATATTATATTTTATGTTTTTTCGTCTTTTTATTTTTTTTTATTTTTTTCTTGTTTGTTTTCCAATTATTTGGTTTTTTTTTTGTATTTTTATCTTTTTATTGACATTTTTCAAAAAAATACAAAATGTATTAATATATTAGAGTATATTACAATTTTGATAATTTATAGTTTTTGTAATTGTTTTTTATTTTTATTCAAGTAAATAAACTAGTTATGTTTATATTTATAATTTCGGTCCAACTTATTTTCTTTTTTTTTTCTTTAGTGCTATTATATTTATGTTACGAAAAAAATGAAAATTAAAAAAAAAAGAGTTTGTTTACTAAGAATTAGTGATTCAATGTGTTATATAACTTGCAAATTAAATCATATTTCTATATGTGATATCAATAGATTAAATTCAAGATAATATATTTTAATTTTATAATAGACTAAAAAAAACAAAAAATAATACTAATAGTCGATCTTTATAAAAAAAAATTGTTATAGTAATTTATATTGAATTCAAGTTCGTTTACTTGAATCAAAGTAAATAAAAACATTAGAAAACCCATAAATAACTAAAATAGGAAAAAATAGAAAAGAAAATTTGTAATATGAAAAACCCTTAGAAAAAATATTAGAAAAACCATAAATAACAAAAAATAGAAAAAATAAATAAATAAATAAAAAGGTGAAAAAAATAAAATATAATACGAAAAGAAATATGAAAAAACCTAAAAAAACTCTAATATACTCAATATATACACTAAAAAATAGAAAACAAAAGGTTAAAAGGTTTAAAAAAATGTTGAAAAATAAAGTTAAAAAATGAAAAAAAAAATAATAAATAAAGTATATATAAAAGTAAAATAAAAAATGTACATATATTTCTAAAAAAAATGAAAATAAATAAAGTATACAAAAAATAGGAAAAAAAGTTTAAAAAACCATGTGGTATATTTTTTTTCAAACCTCAGGGGCTAAATTTGAACTTTTTAGGACTAACTTTGCAAAAAAGTTAACCAACTTAACCATGAAACTCGTTAAGTGGGCTAGAGTGATAATTCTGCGAAAAAATTGTGGCCACAGCAATAATAAAAAAAATATCAGGGTTTTTTCCAATTATGCGTTAAAAATTTAAGGCTTTTATAACATTAACCCTCCTGAACATTGATGGATTTCATGATTTTCAGAATCTTTTTTCGCATGCTTACTTCTACTCCCTCCATTAGAACCCCTAATCACATTTAAAAAAAACTTTAATTAGAAAAAAGTAAATTAAGGTTGACACAAAATCACAAATAGCATGAGGTTAGTGCTCTCACCTTTTATGGGAATCTATATCAGTCTCCAAATGATTCCCTTCCAAAGATTCATCTTCACTTGAACTACTAAAAGAAAGATGCTTGATTTATTCTATCATCCTTATTAACATCTCCATGAGTAGATGCTTTTGGAACAAAACTCTCAAGATTACCTGACCCTTCTTTTATAAACTCACAACAATGTTCCTCTGAATCCACTATGGTGATCTGATACAATCATGTCATTATCAATGAAACAAAAGATGTATGTAATGTAGCTACTACAAAACCTCAGTGAACAAATAGGTAAGAAAATCCATACTTGTATAACTTCTTAATCACAATCCAGTTGACGCCTTATATCAATGGATGATTGTCGTTCAACAATGTTGTCT